CAGAAGAGGCATGATATCCAGGACTAGGAAGGTGATAATCCCATGCCCACATCTCCTCCATACTCAAAAAACCCCCACTGGACTGGCTCATTCCCACTAGCTGTCACCCACATCTCCCCTCTCTTTTGTGGCTAAACTTCTTGAGGAATCTGTCTGCAATACATGCTTCCACTTTCTTTCCTCTCACCCTCTTCTTGACGCCCTGTCTTCTGACCTCGACATTCATCTGAGACCGTCCTCTCCAGAGAACAGACCAGGCAAATATGATGGGCTACTGGACCACAGGAACTCAGGGAAGAGACATTACCACCGTGGGCTGAGGTGGTCCACAAAGGCTGTCTGCAGGAGGAGAGATTTGAAGTGAAAGTATAATATGAAAGGAAGGGTCCCTTAGAACATCAGCTTAGAATCCCCAGCCCAGAGGTAAAAGGGTAAGAGCTACAGGAGGGGCAAGACTGAGAAGGTCTGTGTTATAATCCACAGGAGGGAGGGAAGGGGAAAAGAGAGGAACGAGGGATGAAAGAGCAGGAAGAGAGAATAAGGGAAGAGAGAGTGAAGGAAGAGACAGAAAGGGAGCCACCTTGGAAAAGAGGAGGAAGATGAAAAAAAGAGGCAGAGAGAAGTAGGGAAGAAAAGAGGAAGTGAAGAGAAATAGGGAAGAACTGAAGGAAGAATCAGAAGGAGAGGAAAAGAGAAAAAGGAAGGGGAAAACAATGGTTTGATTTTTGTCTTTGCATTCCCAGGATTTAGAATAGTGCCTGGCACATAGCAGGCATTGGACACATACATGTATATTGTTATCCCCAAAGCTGAACGCAAGATTATTCTTTTCCTTTTCAGTTTTTTTCTATGCTATCTGAATCACCCTGCCTTGTGCAGACACAGCCATCTACATGTTGTATTCCTTGGCTCTCATACCCCAGCCAGTAGAAGAGGCTCTCGTAGGAGTAGGGTGTGTTATATTTTATTTTTATATCTCAGTTCCTTGTACTTAGTAGGTACTTGTTAGTAATGGGGGGGGAGGGGAAGAATGATCTTAGAAGATGTAACCCAAGATTATTTTACAAGTGGGGAAAGAGATCCTAGGAATTGCCTCCCTTAACCTTCCTCCCCTCCACCTCCAAGAGACACACGGGTTGTCCTTCTTTCTGGAAGAGGACCGCAATGATATCACTATGTTGGGGTCAAGGTACAGTGTGGCTGATCACACCAATATGAGCTCAGAAGGCTCTACCAGTTTGGGCACAAATAATCCATATGGACATCTGGAGTGGAGATAACTCCAAATCTGAGCATCTCACCTTTCTTTGAACTACCACAATTCTTCTTTGCTCACAGAGCACAGTGCCTTCTTTGATGTGGGCATCCCATGATGGGCAGTCCTCTGCCAGTGTCTCCCATGTGTCATAATCGATTCCAAAGTTCTTCAGAGAGGCCTTGAGAACAGACGCCTACACCCAAGCAGAACTGGTCCTGAATCCTCAGAGCCTACTGCGACACCCCAATAAGTGCCCAAGTAGCTTTCACCTGAGTCTCTCCAGTAAGGTGGAACCTGCCTGACTCATCCACTTGTAGTACAAAATTAAAATGGCAGAACCACTCACAGCCAGATGGCCAGTTAAGAGGAGTCACTGCGCATATGTCTGTACCCTCCTTTGGGCTGCAGGGGGAATACATACAACAAAGGACACAATTTTGAGCATCGGGTCAGAGTTGCTTGGGTTCACAGTCATTTTTTCAGTCTCCAACTCTGTGACCCCACTTGGGATTTTCTTGGTAAAGATACTGGAGTGGTTTGCCATTTCCTTCTCCAGCTCTTGTCACAGATGAGGAAACTGAGGCAAACAGGGTCAAGTGACTTGTCCAGGGTCACATGGCTAGGCTGGATCTGAACTTTGGGCTTCTTAACCCCAGGTCCAGCATTCTATCCACTGCACCACCTAGCTGTCCCAAGAGTGTTTACACTAAAGGAAAGCTCCTCCCACTCCAACTCTACACATAGCTATGAGAAGTCTACAGGCCTGCATGAAAAGTTTGGATTTTTTTTTGCATACTAAGGTAAACATCTTGGTTTTCAAGTTGCCTACAATTGTCCTCGTAGGCAGTACAAAGCAAAGTTTTCACTAATGTCTCATGAGGAGCGACGACGGGGAGGCAAAGTATCAAACGTCTTCCACAGTTACTTAGGACCACTCATTTTTACGCTTAGTCTTACAGATCAAATTGGGATGGGGGTAATCTCAAATCCTTGGGTTTGCTCAGTTTACCCCAAAATAGAGACTAGCTCTAAAACAGTCACTCATGTCAGGAGAAATGTTAAGGCGCCATTTATTTTTATTTTTTGGCTTCCTCAAGATTTGTATCTCCAGTTAGTTTTACCTACTAGATTTGGTGCATTGCTCTGCCTCCACTAGGTCATATTGGGTCCTGTGTCCTCCAATGTTAGCTATCTTTCCTAGCTTTCTCCCCTACTCTTATGCCCCGTGACCCTAAGCCCATCATTTCTGTTCCCTATATAATGCAGATCGTGCATGCGCCACCTGCCTCCCAGTGCAAACCTTGAAGCGCTTGAAGCCTGGGGAGCCACCATCCCCTCTCCAGGCACTTATTCTGCCTTAGATCACTAACGTCACCCCTTATGTACCTGCTCCCCTGGTCTGCCCCACCCCTAGCTCCACGAGGGCAAAAGCCAATGTGATACTCATCTGTCTCCCAACTAACACCCAAGGAGTGGGGTCCTAACCAACGACCCGGGCAGAGCACCCCGTGGCAAAGACCACAATCTTCTACAACTGATAGGTTGCAATGCTTTTATTAAATTCTTACAAAACAGAATACAAAATTCTGGCATTTGATAGTTGTTATAAAGGAAAACTCTTGAGCTGTATCAGTTTACCTGGTACCCCATAGTTAAAGTGCTTTTTTTTTCCCTCCTTTTCTTTCTACTGGGTTGGTGTATATTTTGTTTTAGTTGTTGTTTTTTAGCAGTTTCTAAGCTGACATCCCCCTTCTCATGGGGCAGTCTTGGATACCAGCAGTGCAGTGTGTGACATCATCTCGGCCACGTTCAAGAACGGCCTACCCCGTGCTGGGGTGGGGACAGGGGGTGCATCTCTTTATGAGCCTTGAAAAAGTCAGGTTCACAGTAACATTTCTAACCAGTTCCAAGTTGAATTAAACGGCTGAAGGGGGGGAGAAGGGGAAGAGTTGGGCAGGAAGGAGAAAGTGAACCTAAATTTAAAAATCAAAAATAAAAGTCAGTCATCAGTATCAGCTAAGTTCTGATTAGTAGGGGGAAAATAGCAATTTGAGTCTCCAAGGCTTTTTTTTTGGGGGGGAGTTAAAAGAAAAAAAATTCCAGAAAACTCCCAGCTAGAAAGAACCACTGATTTTCCATTTACACCCCCATTCTACTCAAGAAACTTCAGATACTGCGGACAGTGTCTTTGGAAGTGAGTCAGAAGTCTGACCTGTGAAGGGGGCTGGAGTAAGGGGCAGGAGACTGGAAGGTGACCTCTCCATCTTCCTCCTCTGTCATGCCCCACCCCACAACACTCAATAGGTCAGTAGAGGAGGAAACTTCAATCCTCCAAGGCCCTGCCCTGGCCTGCCAGGTTATGTCCAAAGAAGATTTGGGGAGGATTGGAGGTCAAGGCATATGGAGGGGGGGAAACATTAGGAGGAGAGAGTTGCTTCTTTAAAAAAACAAAAAAACCCAAAAAACCTCTGCCCCCTCCTCCAGGTGTGACCAGGATTCCAGGTGTAGTGTGGGGATAGCCTGACCCCGACTTACACCATTCAAGTATTCTTAACGTAAGACAAATACCCGTTGGGTGGGGGTAGAGGGCAGGATGAAATGGACAAGTCAGAGTAAAAACAAATTGCTCCAAAAATCCCTAAAAACACACAACGTACAATCTAAAGACCTTGGACTCTGAAGAAGCAAGCCTATCATTTCCCCAGAATCCCCAGCTTCCACCAGTGGCTGTCTGAGCAGGCTTCACGGCTTCCCCGGGTGGCCATGGGACGAAACTCACACGTGTGACCCAGACTAGTCAAGGGAGTTCTGGCTGACGGCTGGAAGGGGTAGCAAGGGGACAAGAAAAATGCTATTTGAGGCTTAGGGGGGCTGACTATAAAGAAAACCTGAGCACTTCTCTCCAAACACGTCCCACCATCTTCACACCTCCCTGACTGGGAAAGAAAAAATTTTATATACACACACACACACACACACATACATACACACACACACATATATATATATATACACACACATACATATATACATACATATATATATATACATATATATGTGTGTGTATATATATATATATATATATGCATACATAAGACGGAGCTGGTATTGCATAGTTTGTCCCTGCCCAGAATACAGAGGCGGGGTGGGAGGAAAACCCCCACCCAAGGAGGAGCCCTCTCGGGAGGGCTTCTCTCCATGTGGGACGGCGCCGGAGAGGAGAAGGACCTGGAGGAGGCACAATGTCTCTCCACAGGATTTCCTGGTTGGAGCGTTCCATCGGACATCTAACTCGAGCCCTGATCCCCTCGGATCTGCCCGAGCCCCAAGATCCAAGGCCCCCAAAGTCCAAGCAGGAAACTACAAGCTTTTGTTCCTGAAAGTTGGCAAATGAAATTACTCCCCTTGGGCGCTGGGCTTTGTTTAAGCTTCGGGCTTCAGGGTGGGGAAGGGGAAGATGAGGGACTTCTCCCCATTCTATCTCCACTGACTGAAATTGCCCATTCTGGGCTTAACTCCAAACTTAGGGGAGCCCTGAAAATGGGTGTACATTAGGCCCTGGGGCCTGGGTGCCGATCTCTAGGCACCTGAGCATCCCGGTCCAGCCGACGAAGGTGAATAAGCTCCCCCCTTGTTCCTGCCCCGCCCCCACTCTCTGCTGTCCTACCAAAGGTTGGCACAAGTTTGACCAGGGTGTGGGGGGTGGGGTTGGGGCTGCCCCACCCAGGCACCATAGCAGCACCACCCCCACCTCAGGAGCTGCCAACAAGAACCCCAGGGAACATGGGGAAGCCAGCTCTCCTCCTTCCTCCCTGCCTGGGACATGGGAGTCACCCGTATTTTTATGGCCAGACCAGAGCCCAGGATCCCAGCACCTTCTGGCAGGCTCTCGTCCCCATCACTAGCAGTCAGGTACACTTGCTTCCCTCGGGGACACCAATATGTAACAGGGTCCCAGGGAAAGAAAATAAAAGGGAATTTGCAGAAGACCCAGATTGTCTGCCCCAGGAGATGGGGGAAAAGGAGGGAGGGGAGTTTTGCCTGTTGGGGATGAAAAAGGGAGAAAGCCAGCCACTACCCCACTCTTAGACTACATTCTGGCCAGTCAGTGATGGGGTAGGATCGGGGAGGGAGGAGGGAGAGAGCTAGGGGGAAAGGAAAGCCCCATAGGAGTGGCCCAGCTTGGGCGTGGGCTCTACCTCCCCTGTAGGACATCGCCCTCCTGGATCCTACTGCTCCAAGGCCAATGTGTCCAGGTGGGCTAAACTCATCCTCCAAGCAAGACCCCAAAAGGAGAGCTTGCGGCTGGGTGAGGGAAGAACAGGAGAAGGGAGGAAAGCTATTCTATCTGGAGTGAGTCAACACTTCACCTCGAGCTTAGGCATGGACTCCACTCCTTTCTCAACACTGTACACAGGCCAGGTGGGGAAAACCTCCTTAGAATACTGAGAATTTCCCATGGGGCTGGATGAATGCAAAATGAATTTTTATATATCATATATACATATGTATAAAATGCATATGTATATACATATATAGAAAAAATGCATATATGCAGTGGCAGGGGGCGGTGGGGAGGGGAGAACAGTCCTCCCTTCCCCCCCCCCCCCCCGACCAGGGGCCCATCACCTGCTCTGGAAGGCCTCTGGAGTCAGGAAAACAGGCCTTCCTCCTGAGCCGATTCTTTACACTCGATCTGGAAGGGGGGCAAGGGCAAGGTGAGGGTGGGTGACCGGGCAGGGGATGGAGAACTACGCGCCTCTTCACACAACTGACTGGCCGTCTTTCACAGTATGGGGTGAGCTGAGCTTCCTTTGGCATAGGAAGAGAGGGGACCCCCAACAACAAAAAAGGACCCACAAATGTCAGTGTGCTACACGCCCTTTGAGCGTGCCTGGGGTGTGTGCCACATTCTTGCTTTGTTGGTAAATACCATTAGACCATTTAAAAATATTTATAAAAAAAAAATTACTCCCAAGGTCAGCTGAACTCCCTGGAAACCAGCCAGAGGAGGGAGTGATCGCCGGCTGGCAACAGCTTAAAAAAACCCAACCCAACCCCGGCGAACCTCGTCAGGATGAACGTACAGCAGGGGCTGGAGGGGGACCCGGCTGGGGCCATTACATGTGGTCGCTGACCAGGACCAAGGGGCTGACCAGGTGCTGGGGGGCTGGCGGGGCCTTGGACAGGCTGGCCTTCTGCCGCCGCTGGGCCAGCTTCGACTTGGATGGTGGCGACAGCTGCATGGAACATGAGGTAGCTTTGATGACGATTGGTCGATTCTCTTCCTCCTCCTCGTCTTCTTCACGCTGCGCCAGCTGGCGGTTCACGGCAATGGCCTCTGCCGCAAAGGAGGTGAGTTCTTTGGCACTGCTGTTTCTTGGGGATGAAAGGAAGGGAGGAAAGAGTCAAGGTCAACTCAACAATCCCTGCCACCTCCCATTACCAGCCCTCCACGGCTAGAATTGTGGGGTTTTACTGGGGGGCAGGGAAGGATGCAATTCTAGGAGGAATGATGGCTTCTGGGTAGGTATGGCAGGGAGTACTCCTGCCTACATTTCCTCAAAACCCAGATGACATATCAAAAAAGGAGCTGGGACTGGGGTCCGGGTGTGAGGCCAGAAAAAGTTGAAAGTCACAATCCCAGGCACTTAAGACCATTGTGTCAGGGTGATAACCACTGGGCTAAGCTGGCCGACAGGAATATTGAACTGCTGCCTCAGAAGGCTCAAAGCCTCTAATTTAGGAATGAGCTCCTCAATTCTAACCAGGACAAAGCCTCTTTAAGATCGGCACCGGACGAGCTGGCATCTTCTGTCGCCAAACCTCTGGGGAGGACAGGTCTTCCAGTGAAGGCCAACTAAGGATGACCTCCTTCCCTTGCCAGGCCTAGAACCATAAGCCCCTCTCTAGAGCAAGACTGAAAGATGGGGGGGGGCGGAGGGGTAGAGGGTTGCCTCACCTCTGCAGGATTATTGGAGTGGGAAAGGTGTTATCCGGAGCACACTGCAATGAGAACACAGGACTTTCATTAGTCACAGGCGACGCTGGTGGCGAGCTTAGGGCCTCGGTCACTCCTGAGGCCCTGCTTTAATCGGTTATGGTGACAGGGTGGGTCTGCATCCTCAGCCATGAGAAGGCGGCTGGGACCTGATGCCCAACTTGGACTTGTAGTCCAAAGACCCAGAGGTCCTTCAATGCTGAGCTAGGGAAGGGGCATTTTCCTTAGGAAGTAATGGAGAACCCCTAGAAACTGCTGAGAACAAGTTCTAAGCCTGACCCTGCCATTTAGCAGTTCTGTTACCGTGGACAGACAGACTCCTTCCCTTCACTCTCTCATTTGCCCCATAGAGTTGGGCTAGGAGAAGCAAACAGAGATAGCTACAAAGCACTCTGTGAATCACAAAGGAGTGTGCATATAAAGGTTATGATTATGACCTTTGCCACCAATATGCCTGTGACCTTGGCCCAGGCCCTCCACTTCTCTGGGGGTCAGTCCCTTCTCACCTGGGAAGTGGAGACCCCGAGACTTCACCACCCACCTCCCTTACAAGGGTAATAGAAATACAATGAGAAAATGCATTGGAAAGCAATTTAGAAAAAAGCCAAGTTAATGTGCACATGTACAGGATTAACGCCATCAGATCCCAGGGAAACAAAGGCATTCCCCTCAGTGGCAGCACTTCCTAACATTTCCAGAGCCCCAGGGATGCTTTAGATTCATAGAATTTTGGACCCAGGAGGGATCTTAAGAGATCACCAAGTTCAATCTTCCCATTAAAGAAAAGAACAAACAGATGAGGAAACCAAGGCCCGGAGACTAAGCAACCAAATGTAAATGACATATGTAATAAATGTAAACAACGTGTTGTAAATACTGTAAATGTAAATAATCAATTTACATGACAGATGAAGACGCTGAGGCTACTTCCCTAGGTCAGACTCCACCAGCTTGCAATGGTCAAAGAGATGGACAGAGTGGGGACTGGAAGCAAGCTTCCCAAGGTATAACAAGGTCCAAAAAAACAACTGAAATCGGAATGAGGACGTGTAATGGGGTGAAGAATAACTTCATTTCCAGGACATCTCAGTGTTGGTTGAACATGCTCCCAAATTCGGGTGGTGGAGATGTGCAATAGATTTTTTCACATATATGTTCACTTTTCTTCTTTTTTTAAAGATCTCCTATTAGGAAGGCAGCCTCCATTCTGACCAATAATTATAACACATATTCTATACCTCTGTGACTTCAGGCAAATCAGCTGAGCCTCTGTTTCCTTCTTTGTACTCCTAAGGTACTTTCTAGCTCGATATAGGGAGGATACACTTGAATTCAGCAAGATCTAAATTTGAATGCTACCTTAGACATTCAGTTGTCTGACCCAGGGGACATCATTTAACCACTCTGGGCCTCAGTTTCCTCATATGTAAAATGAGGGAGGTGAATTCAATGAGCACTAAGGAAATTCCCAGCTCTGAATCTCTGATGTATGGATCATTCTCATTCAGACCTTTTGACAGCTTCAGGGTCTTCTCATCTATTCCCACCTCATCTATCTAATCTCTCCTTCAACAAGTAGTTTTTAAAGAGACATGCAAGCCTTGCACACCACCACCATTCTAGACCAGCCTGGCACTTCATCGTCATGGAAAGCCACAAAATCTGAGTGAGATCGCTAGCTGGGCCATCCCTTCTCCCTTTCTCCTTTCCATACTGTGCTCGGACCCCAAGGTCTAGCCCAAGTCCAACAAACCTTCTGGGATCACCTCAGCCAACCTTCACCACTCCCCAGTTTCCCAACCCCACGAATTTCTCCAGAGCTATCTATGCACCCCACTCATTCAGCCCTGAGCAAACATGGCCTAGGATTATTACTTCTTTTCCTATACTTATTTGCCTTATCTCCCCCAAACAGACGTTTATCTGCAGGGACTGAGCCATCTCCTTCTTCATGGCCCCTGGCACAGGGCTGGACATATAGTAGGTCCTAAGCTAAACATGTTTAGTGGAATGAAGAAGCATTGCTAGCCAAGAGTGTGAGCCTACTGTTCAAAGGCAGCCCAGGACAGTGGGCCTCTCTGGCCTCTGGAAGCCAGGAGACCTTCCTTATGTTATGTTCTCTCTCTCCCTCCTTCTGGACAACTCTCTCTACTTCAGAGACATTACCGTTAACTGTTTCTCTCCTCTGACATCTCTAACTACTCAGCATGGTGAAGTAGGCCGAATATTGGCCTAGGCTTAGACCCAAATCCCAACTGACACTTAATTATCTGTGTGATCCTGGGCAAGTCATTTGACCTGAGTCTCTGTTTCTTCCTCTGTAACATGGCGGGACTGGACTAGCACTATGTCAAGATCGAAAGAGGCCCTAGAGGCAAGGAGTCAAACAAACCTGAATGGAAAAACAAACGATAATCTTTACGTCGATATAACTGGTTTCCTTCATAATCTTATTATTTCATTTTACATATTAAAGAACATTATTCTGAGAGAGGTCCACAAGATTTTCCAGATTGCTAAATGGGTCCAGGACAAAAACAAGGTTAAGAACCCCAGGACTACGAGGGTGCCCAGTCCTTGATACGTGGTCTGGCCATCTGTCACATTACTGTGCAGTTGGTGAATGCACTAGCTTTGGGGGCTGCCTTTCTTCCAGCGTCTGGAGGAGAGCGAGGAGGTGGGGGGGAGAAAACGCCAAGAGACAGATCTAAGCTTAATTAAGCTTGGGCAGTCTCCTCTCATGAGAAGCCATCAGGCAAGGTCTGCAGGATTACTCATTACAGAAGAAATTCTTGACCAGGTATGAGCTAGACTGGATATCTTGAGGTCCCTTCCCACCCAGATGCTCACTTACATCTGTGAAAAACCTTCCAAGAAATCCTCCTCATGCTCTGCCCACACCCCAGGCCCCAGCAGCTGGTGGTGACCTCCACCCCATCTTACTCTGTGGTACTTTGTGTGCGTCTCAGTCTTAGAGATCTAACTTCAACACACAATAATCTGCTTCATGGCACCATTGTCTCTCCGCCTCCTGTAGCCCCAACAGAGGCCAAATTCAGGTCCACTAGCTAGCATTTAGTAAGCACTTCCTCTGTGCCAGGCACCCTGCTAAGCACCAGATGTAACAGGCTTCCCTGCTCCCAAGGAGCTCACCCTCTAACGCGAGAGACAAGTGCGAACCACCACGTACAAATTCCATGACAATGGAGACTCTGGTAGAACCTCCCCTCCCCTCACCAAGCCAATCACTGTGTGCTGAATTAAACTGAGCAACGGCCATCTATCTGCTCCCTGGAAGGCTCCAGCCAGGTCGCTTCAATGGACCTCAGTTTCCTAATCTATAAAGTAAGAGGGACAGGAGATGAACTTTCTAAGGTCCCTTCCTCCTTTAAAGTTTCAGAGTTGGCACAGAATCATGGGAAAAGTACCGGGCTTGGCGTCAGGCAGCACGTGTGGAAGTTTCATCCTGACTTCTCAATAGCTTTAGGACCACAAAATATGAGTCACAATTTTCCTCATCTGTAAAATGGGGACACTCATACTACCTACTTCACAAGGCTACTGTAAACCTCAGAATACTGTAGAAATGTGAGGAATTATTATTACCCATTACTAAGTCAGACCAGCTCATGGTTTCCCATTATTCTGATTTTCCCAGTTTTATCATCAGTCACTACCTCTCAGGGGCTCCGTTCTCTTCATCTGAAAAGGTGCCTTCCTGGTCTCACATTCTGTAATTTTTTGACACCTGGAGTAAAACCCAGGGTTGAGGAACCCCCACCTTTGTCCCCTTAAGGATTCAGAGGGTAGTGACCCTTCCCTCTCCTTCTCCAAGTTCAAACACATCACCACCTAGAACCTAAGGAGAAGACTTGGATACCTCCCAGACCCAGTGACACTTACCCCTTGCACCCAGGGGTGCTGCAGGACCTGGGCCGCGCTTAGCCGCTTCTTGGCATCCCGGACAAGCAGCTTGGAGATGAGGTCTTTGGCTCCAAAGGAGATATGGGCCCAGTCCTTGTCGGGAAACTCGTACTTGCCTGCCTGGATGCTCTCAAAAAGCATGTTCTGGGGGGAGGGCCAGACGAGGTTAGCTGAGGAATGATTAACTTTAAGAACCCTAGTCCCCGACTCGCACCCCTGCTGTGGACCCCACAAGAGGTCTGGACACCGTATGTGTCACTGGGGATAGTTGAGGGAGCTTGGGAAGAAGTAGCGGACATGATCCCTCTCTCTCTCGCCCCGAGTATGCATGTATGTAAGTGTGCGTCTCCGTCTCTGTCTCTGGTCCCCATACTGGTGGGAGGCATCCTGTAATTGAAGGAGCCTGGGATTTCAATCCCAGCTCGGGAGCCGTGTGTGACTGGCCAACTCTCTCGGTCCCAGGGTCCTTCTGTGTCAAATGAAAGGTGGGATGAGAATAGCTACACAGGACCTTTCTAGTACCAGCAGTCTGTGAAATAGCATTTCCAGGGCCAAGAGAACAGATCTCTGCTCAGTACCAGAGGACAAAACTTGGAAAATGTCAGCGGGATGGGAAAAGTCACAGAGAATCAATTCTGGCTCCCCTGAATTTCTTAACCATAAAAATCCATGATGATCAGAGGGAGAAACGAAGGGTAAACCCAGCAAGCACCAAAGAAATGCCAGGGCGGGCACGGCCATCCCTGGGCCCTCACCTGGCAGGTGTGACAAGCTTCGCCCCGGTCCCAACCGCAGTCACTGCCACAGTGGCCCACAAAGGGTGGGTAGCCGCTGAGCAGGATGTAGAGGATGACGCCAAGGCTCCAGAGGTCACATCGCTTGTCGTAGATGGAGGCCTCCTCGTTGAAAGCTTCTACCACCTCGGGGGCCATGTACTCTGCAGAGCCACACTAGGAGGGAGAAGGGAGGGGGGAGGGTTAGAGTTGGCCGCTGGGAGAGCAGCAGACACTGCATGAAGACCTGTGGAGTGCATGGCACAGGGGACACGGACGGGCGCTCAGAACTTGGCACCAGGGAGGGGTCCGTAGTGGCAATCAGGTCCAACCCTTTCATTTTCAGCGGACAGAGGTAGGACTCACTCAGGCTAACACCGATGGCAGGCAGTCAACGTGGGGTCTGAACCCTCCTGAATGTGCTGACTTTGGGTTCCCTAGACCACCCTGCAGGGACAAGCCCCACAAGGCTCATCCTGCACAAGTCCGCATTCTAGTTGGAGAGAAAAGGACAAATGGAGAAAGAGGGGACCCATGATCTCAGTCCAGGGCCCTGGCACAGCCTGTGGCATCAGGAGCCATGGGGTAGTCAGGGAGGACTTCTCAGAGGGGACAGCAACTAAAAATAATTAAGATAAACACAGAGAAAAAGGGGAGGAGGAGCAGACTGAGAAAAGGCAGCACATGTACCCAGAAGACAATTAACTGGAAGGCTGATCCGGCTATACTGGATGGTCAAGTCCAGACTGGTCAAAGCCTCAAATGCCAGGCCAAGGAGTTGTGGGGTGAGAAGGCTGAAGGGTCCCACGGAGAGAGTGCTGGTGTGGAAGCAAGAGGACCTGGGTGCAAATTCTCCTGGGTGACTGTTGGGTATATCATTTTTCCTCTCAGGACCTCAGTTTCCTCGTCTGGGAAGACCTTGGAAATAATCTCTGATCCAACCTCCTAAATTTTATGATCACAATTATGACAACAGCATCTGGCATGTACATAATACTTTGTCTACACAACAACTTTATGCACATTATCTTCTTTTATGATGATGACAATCCTAGGAGTGAGATGCTGTTATGATCCCCATTTTACAGAAGAGGAAATTAAGGCAGAGGTTAAATGGTTTGCCCAGGGTCACTCAGCTATTAAGTGGCATGGTTTGAAACCAGGTCTCTGAACTTACTGAATGTTTGTAGACTGACTCATTGATTGATTGGGCCTCAGTTTCCTCAATCTATGAAATGAGGATAACACCTGTACCCAGCTCAGAGGACGGCTGTGAGGCTCAAATAAATGAGTTAACAAATGCATGTGGACCACTTTGTCTGCTTTAAAGTATTACAGCAAAGCCTGTTTTCTTCCTCTGTCTAACAGGAGGGATCGGATGCCACTGCCCCCGAGGTCCCTTCCACCTCTCCATCCTGTGATCTTCTGTCTCTCATATCTACTTTCATCTGAACCCCAGCCACGCCAGCCACCCCGCCAGATCTGCTCAGTCTGCCCAGAGTCAGGACTCTTACCTGGGGGCGCACGCCTCCCTTCCAAAATGGAAGAAGAGGCCGTGGTTCCACAGGAGTGTGGCTATGGCTCTCTCTCTCTCTCTCTCTCTCTCTCTCTCTCTCTCTCTCTCTCTCTCTCTCTCTCTCTGTAAATGGGCTGCCTGTCAAGGATTTGCCTAACCCCATTCCACATAGTCAGGGTGACTCCCCCAGCCAAGATGCCCCATCCCTGGGGCACCAAACTTACATATGACCCTGCATAGAGCCCCATGTCCTCCTGTGGGGCTGCAAGAGGCCTAGACTTGGGAGTACGAGGACCCGGGTTTGAATCTCGCTTCTATTCCTTGTTACCCCTGGCCCTTGGGTATGCCCCTTCACTGCTTGGGAGGACAACAGTACAGGGACCTCTTAACTGCCTTCTGTGTGCCAGGCCCTGTTTCAAGCACTGGGGATCCCAAGGAAGGCAAAAGCCCCGCCACGGAATGCTCACAGACCGTCTAACCATGGGGTGCTCCGACCTCCCCTTCGACGCTTCTCAAGACCGTTCCGAGACTGTGCTTGGGATCACAGGAGCCAAAAGGGACATCAGAGAGGGAGGCCTAGCCCAGCCTCCTTCCCTCTTCCCCAGGACCAGCCAAAGACACAAAAGTCTTTTGCTCCACCTCTTTCTTCCTTGCCCTTGAAGTCCCGTCTCCCCCTCCCTTTCACCCACTAGGCTCACAAACGGACCAGGGCATCAAGAGCCTGCAAGCTGGCACATGGCTTTTGCCTTGCCCTTACCATGAGGCAGGAGAACTGGGAGAGCAGGAAGCCTGGGGGAAGTGGGGAAAGAAGAGGTCAGTCCCTGCTACTTTTCTAAGGCCCAGCAGAAGCCTCTAGAGATGAAGGCCAGGGACAGGGCAAGGGTACAGATACCCTTCCAACAGGCCCTGGAGGAGCAGCTAGGTGGCTCAGTAGATAGAGTGCCAGCCTTAGAGTCAAGAAGACCCGAGTTCAAATCTGACCTTAGACACTTACCAGCTGTGTGACCCTGGGCAAGTCACTTAACCCCAATCGCCTCCAAAACAAAACAAATAAACAGGTCCTGCCTTTCGGCGTGCCACTCACAGGCATCTGTCATGGGGGACTCAAAGACGGGACCCTGCACCACAAAGATCACTGACTTGGGAGTCAGGAGATTAAATTAGATACCACCTGTAAAGGTCTTTGCTGGCCTTAAAATGCTATGTCAATGCTAGCTACTATGACTGTGATCATCCGTGCTTCTCGACCACTCCAGCATCACCGCTTATTTTTGGCGTGAGCCTAGCTAGCCGGCTTTGTCCTATAACCTCCCTGGGGTTTAAGTCTTCACTAAAGCAGCCCTGACTCAGGGCATTTTCTCTATGTCCCCCATTCCCTCCTCATCTCAGCCTAATGGCTTCCTTCGAGGTCCAGGTATGACCCCAACCCCCCCCACTTCTACAGGAAGCCTTTTCAGCCCCTTCTGCGTGCTGGTGCCCTCCCTCTGTGGATGATCTCCCATTTCTCCCGCTTGTCGCTTGCTGGTACGTAGACTGGGAACTTCCTGAAGGCAGGGGGATGATCTTTTGCCTTTCTTTGTACCCCCAGCACTCTGCACGGTGCCTGGTGCTTACTAGGGGCTTAATCAATGTTTACTGCCTGACTTAGGATGGAATTATTCTGGAGAGCAGAGCTGGAACGGACCCAAGACACCATCAAATCTAACTGCCCACCCCCTCATTTTACAGATAAAGAAACCAGAGCCCAGAAAGGTGAGTGACTTGCCAGCAAGGGTCTGATATTGAAGGTCCCTTTCGCTGGCAGCCACCAGGTGCAGAAGGGGTTAAGGCAGAGAGACAGTGCTAGCTAGCCAGCCACGGGGACTTTCCAGCCTCCCCAGAGCCGTGGGGGGAGGGGAAGAGGGAGGCCCTCTGTGCACGAGAGACAGGAAGCTTGATGGGGAGAAGAGGGGGGCTGGGCAGCTCTCCCCTACTTCTACACCCAGACAGCCCCCGCTCTGCGAGACAAAGCATAACTCTGTGCCGGAGAGGGGAAGGTTGTCTGAGATGCCAGGCCCAGCTGCATGGGGGGATGGAGGGCTGCCCCTAGTTCCAGCCGGGAGCCTCACCTTCCCCACCCAGCAGGACTGGGTTGCATCAGCTCCTTCCCCACCCAGACTGGGCTTCTAGCCAAGGATTCCGCCTTGGGGAGGGGTGGGAAGGGCCAGGCAGGAGGGGCTTGATATGGGAAGGTTAGCTCCCTCCTTGGCCTCTGCACACCCTGCAGGAGAGTAAGGCTGTCCCCTTCTCAAGAAAAGACTCTGGCCAGGGGTTACCTTCCTCTTGGAATTGCCCCTTGGCCTCAATTTATCCACCTGAGAATTAGCACCAGAAGGTGCACCCAACAAATCTTTTGTGAAACTGTGTGCCTGCCCTGCCCCAATTGGTAAGGCACGGCCAGGGAGCTCTCTACTTTTGTCGTCTCCAGGAAGGCCAGGGTAAGAGGTCAGGTCAGAGGCGACTGGCGCTGGGGGGGCAAAGCAGGGACAACCCCCAAACTCTGGCTTTCACCAAAGAGTGGGACGGGATGGGACCGATGGGGTGCCAAGTGGGCGGTAGGCAGGGATTTCATGGGACCAAAGGGTTAGGAGACACACAGCCAACCACAGTCTGCATCCTCCCTCGGAAGTCCCGCCCATCTCTGGTTTTCAACACCACCCCACCCCAAACACACATATGTGCACCCGGGGGTGCCCCAGTGCCTCGAAGCCCCTCCTCTCTTCCTTTGCCCAAGCCGTGTCTGACCCATTTCTGGGTGCCCTGAGCGTCAGGCCCCACCCTCCCACCCAATCAGAGTGGCTGTTGCTAAGGCGAGCCCTAAGCTCTCTCCCTCTGGCTCCTCCCATGCTGCTGGGCTCCGCTCCAGGCCAACCAGGAACGGGGGTGTTATGTAACTCTGGGGCCCGTGGGGGCAGGGAGAATTACGCCCCCAGAGAAAAAAGGAGGAGGGCAATGCCTTGCTCAGTATCCCACCAGGACGGCCTATGAGGAGCCGGCAGGGTCGGTGGTGAGTGAGACTTACCGGTGTGAGCAGCTCTGGGGTGGAGATGGGAGAGCAGTCACCATTGAGCTTAATGCCACTGCCGAGGTCAAAGTCGCAGATCTTGACTGGAGAAACCTAGCACAAGGAGTGGGAAGTGGGAGACAGGCAGGTGCATGAAGTACAGAAAGCCCAGCCCACGGTGAATACCCTCCTCTTCTAAGCACACTCATCAGACCTTCAAGGACTTTCCCCACATCCATCTCGGGAAGGGAGGGCATGCAGGGATGGTCATTCCTATGTTACAAGTGGGGAAACCAAGGCTCGGAAAGGTCAAGGGATTTGCTCAGGGCTACCCAGCTAGTGAGTGTCAGAGGTGGGATCTGACGCCAGATCTCAAGTCTGTCATTTTTTCCTGCTAAATCACTGCCCTTCCCTATCCCAGACCCTGTGCAGTTACAGCCGGCTGGCCTCTGACACCATCCTAGTGAGAGGCGAGGCCAGGCCCAGAGAGCCAAGAAATAGAGGAGATGGTGTCCTCCTGGCCAGGGCAGCTCCACAAAGTGGGGCAGGCCCGAGGCCACAGGCAAGCTTGCTCCATAGCCCTGACAGCATGACTGAGGATACTTTTTTCCTATTAGTTCCTGCCTGCCTGCACTTCTCTGCCTCACTCTCCTTTCCGTGAGTACCTCAACCCGGCTCAGAACTCCTTGGAGTAGAAGAGTACTTTTATACAGTGTCCTCAGAGGGTTCTGACAGAGGGCATCACACACACCCCATTTTACAGATGAAGAAACAAAGACCTGATGGAAAGTAGCACCCTAGCACTCATACTGTGAGTCAGCTACAGGAACAGAATGTTAGAATGGAAAGAGCACGGAACGGGGAGTCCTAAGCCCTACTATGTTCAAGCCTCCTCACTGCTCTGAGCTCTAGCTTTCACCTGTGTAAAATAAGGGGGGGCTGGACCACATTAAGGACACTTACACGATGATCCACAGAACCCCCCAAGGGGACCATCATGAGATTCCAGAGGGTCTGTGAACTTGTATTTTAAATATCTTTATTTTGAATATCTTTTAAAATTTGTTAAGTTCATCTTCAATATCTTTATAAGTGCATTTCAATATCACCCGTAATCCTTTGGTTTTTATTTTATGCATAAAAAAAGGGGGATTCTGAGATGGGGTCCATTGCGAGGCCTCCCCAGGCCTGCTGCCAAAAGGTTCCCGGACCCAAAGAAGGCCCTTGGACCAGGTAATTGTTAAGGGCCTTCCCACCTCTGAGGCTCTCAGCAGCAGAGTCGGGGACTTGGGTCTCTGAACTTACCCCCAAAAGCCCCTGCTCTAAAGTCTGCACCCCAAGGGGCCCGCTGCTCCCCTCCCCCCAGGTCCCAAGCTTCTAGGCCGCTCCTCTCAGGAGCCTCTCCTCACCTGGTCAGGATTTTCACAGAGGATGTTTTCAGGTTTAAGATCCCTATGTGCAATCCCTGGGAGAAAGCCAGACAGCAGAGGCAACGTCAAGAGGATGGGGGGAGGGCACTGGAGTCAGGGGAGGGAGGACAGGGCCAGTGGACCCCAGGTTTTCTCAGAAGGCCCAATGTATTGAGGTTCCCTTGCTTTAGAGGGTGGGAAGGGGGTCCTGTGTAAAGCTTCTCAGCAGGAGGCAGAGAGCCATGTAGCTGGTGCAGGGAGAGGGTAGGGTGGGAGAGAGGGGAGGAGAGAGAGGGAGGGGGCCCAGGCTTCTGGCCTAACACTCCTCTTCTCTCCCAAGTCCCTTCCCCTTGTACCCTGACATTGCCCACCTTTATTGTGCAAGAAGTCAAGGGCGCTGGCAATGTCCTGGACCACCATGCTGGCCTCAAGCTCGTTGAAATGACGTCGTTGATGGATATGAGAGAGGATGGAGCCTGCCGGGGGGCCAGAGGGGAAGAGGGGGGTAAGGCACAGGTCACGGGGGAGGGCCAGCCTCATCCCCACCCCACACAGAACCTTGGAAAGGGATGACCCCGGTGATGCCACCTTTATGCGGCTCTGTTGGGATGTGTCCAACATGTTTCTATTGGCTTTCCTCACAGCCACCCAAGGAGGCAGACAGTGCAGAGGAGAGAACCAAGGCTCAGAGCACCGACTTGCCTAGCAGTGACCTAGCTAACAAGGAGCCAGGTCCCCTCTGACACCGAGTCAGTGCTCTTCCCACTCAAACACGCTGTGTCTAGAGATGCTGCTGAGAGGTGACCAAGCCTGCCTCCTGCACTTCTGGCTCTTGGGGCAGAAGACGTTTACCACCATGGGGACAACGCCTCACATCCACAGGACTTCACAGCTCACCGCCCCACCCACCTGCCTCCCAACCCTACTGGCATGGAGGGCAGGGGGCACCCCTGCCCTCTCTCTTTTATAAGACAAGCAGTGACTTGTCTGGGGTCACAGAGTCCATTGGCAGCTCTGAGACTCAAATCTGGGTGTCCGATCCCAACTTCAGACACCTTTCTCCCACACCTGGCTTGCCTCTCCCCTCACATGCACCAGGAAAAAGGGGCAAAGGGGTCAATTTAGGCTTGACCTCAGCAAGAACTTCCTGACCAGAGAACTCTGCTGCTCTGACAGGTAGTAAGTTCCTCCCCTCCCTGGAAGTCTCCAAGTAAAGGCTAGGTAACCATGCTTGGGTATACCAAAAAAAGGGATTTTCAGGGAATCCAGGGCCAGGGACTCGTTGGTCTATTTCCTTCCAAACTCAGTTCAAATGCCATGCCCCAACATACACACTCTTCAGGAAACCTTTCCTGACCCACTGACCTCTCTGGAGAAGATACAATCATTTACATGTCATGTCTCCCATTAGTATATAAGCTCCCTCAGACCAGAGACTGATTTTTTTTTTATCCCCATCACTTAGCCCGATGCCCAGCACACAGAGAGTACTTCACAAATGCCTGTTGGCTTGACTTTGTCTAGATGCCCATAAGGTCCCTTCCAAATCAAAGATTCTGTACCTTTGAATCTGGAATCCCTCAAAAAAAAAAAATACAACACCCTTAGCGACTTTTTTATGGGTCTATCATATGGGAATTTCTTTGAACCCTGCCTGAACTAGCTCCTATTTCCAGCCTGTCCCACCTCGTAGGAGACCCGACTGCCTGCCAAGGCAAAACCACTTTGCTCAGTCGGACGATTCCCTGAGACGCCAAGAAGGTGCCGCTACCTGTGTCGTTCTGGGGAATTCCCTCATTCAGGAGTTTCTTAGGTCAGGAGCATCAAACTCAAATAGGAAGAGGGGCCACCATGTCACTAAGTAGAGAAGGATCCCTGTGGGCCACATGTCTCATCACCTCTATTTCATTGCATTCCTGCTGATTTTGGTAACTATTTCCAAATGGTATTTTACCCTGGTTTGGGCCTCATTCTGAAGCATTGGGGGCTGAGTGTGTGATACTCCTGCCCCACAACAGCTGTTCTCAATATGGGAGATGCTTTCAGAGGATCCATCAAATTTAAATGATTTTCATAATAATGCTAAGATATAACCCACTGAAACAAAAGCTCTTGGTGGGGAGGGGAAGGCAGAGGGGGTCCTTGATCATCTTCAAGAGAGTGAAGGGCTCCTGAGATCAAAAAGCTTGAGAGCTGCTATCCCAGACTAACGCGATCTCAGGTCCAGCCCCAATCTCTTTCTTCATATCCCTTCTGAGTATCTAAGGCGATCCACTCCTAGTCTGATGCCAAAGGGAACCCTCTCAAGAATCCCCAGTCTCCTTGAATTTCATGGATTTTTTTGGATTTCATTAAAATCCATATTTCATGGGATTGTGTCAGGAGTTAGGGGGTGGGAGAGATGAGAGGAAAGAATGGGGTGCTAATGCCCTACGGGAGTCGGGGGAAAACCCAGGACATGCACCTGCAGCCTCTGATAGAATGCCCTCATACTTACCACCCCGCATCTTCTCAAACACCAAGTAGAATCTCTCTTCTTCTTCAAAGAACTCTATCAGTTCAAGGACATTTCTGGGGGAAAAGAGGAAGGGAGGGGGCAGGAGAAGGTGCTTCAGTTACCAATCCCCCCATTCCAACCTCTCATGGGCAGCCCCTTGGCCCTGAAGGAGGATCTGAATTCCCTCCCACTTTAGAGGAAGGAGCTATGCAGTAGAGGCCAGCCTCCCTGGGTTGGGGCTGGGGACATGGGAGGGAGGAGAAGTGGACCTTACTAGACTTATCTGCCCATCAAAATGACCTCCATCAGAGCACCGAAGGCCTTTCTCCACAGGGAAGCTTAGAAATGCAGTATGGACATGGGACAGGACAGTAGGAGGAAGCTAAAAGCTGAGACTCCCAAGGCAGAGAGATGGGGGTGAGGGGGCAGGGGGATGGAAGGATTCATTACCTATGTCCCTGGCACTGGTACAACATCTCTACCTCCCGAAACACACGACTCCGTATGTGGCCCAGGCGCTTCTCAATGATCTGAAAAAGAGCAAGGCTGGTGGAGTTACTAAAGAGGGGTAGGGTGAGCAGGGAGGTTCAGAGGCAGAAGGTTCCTCAGACCTGGCTCTCACCACCAGGCAGGAAATGCAAATGTTCTTTATCTCTTTGTAGCTAAATGTTTAGAGTTCTCTATTAAAATGTAAATCTGGAGGTCTCAGTTCCTGCCCCCTTAGGATAAGTTGGGCCTCTGGACACCTGGATAAGCGGGAAAGGGACAAGGACAGGCCTAAACATGGGAAGGCAAACACCAAACTGTCTGCTTTTCCCCAGAGCCAACCCAGTTCCATCCTTTCCAAACCTGGGGATAGAACGCGATCTGTAAATGCTAGCTAGTATTATTTATTATCATCATCATCATCATCATCATCGTGACTGTGATTATTCCTGCTGGCCAGTGGAAGGACGAAGAAGCCCCAGATGTCACTCGTTTGGCTACAGGACCCACATCAGGTTCCTGGATAGGCGCTGGGGCATAAATGCAAACAGCACTTATGACTTGGGGGGCAGAAGGCCCAGGCAGTTGGGGGAATTTAGCCCTGGCCCAGGCATCAGCAAGTTCTGAGCTCAAATCCAGTGTCAGACACTAGCTATGTGACCCTGGGCAAGTTACTTAACCTCTCTTGGCCTCAGTTTCTTCATCCGTAAAATGGGGAAGATAAAAGCACCAACCTCCCAGGGTGGTTCCCAGGACCCAGAGAGATAATATCTTGTAAAGTGCTTAGCTCAATGTCTGGCACTTCGTAGGTACTTTATCAATGTCAGCTATTGTTACTAAGCTTTAATCCTGGCCCTGGGCGTTATTTAAGTGGATTATAAACTCCTTGAGGGGAAGGACTGTTTTGTTTCTGTCTTTCTTTCCCCAAAGCCTAGAACAGAGCTGGACTCAACAGTAAAAACTTGTTGAATTGAATTTCACCACTGAAGCTCAGTTTTCTGATCAGTAAAATAAGCTGACACACACTCCCTGCTTCACCGGGCTGCTATGAAGAAAATGTTTCAGAGATGGGAGTTTTGACTATGACCAAATAACTGAATGCTTATCTCACATTATATAATCCTTTTAAGGCTTACAAAGCATTTCTGTCAAAACAATCCCAGGAACTAAAGACCATGTGATTATACCCACCATCTCTGCAGTCCTTCTGGATTCTAACTGCCATGACCCCATGTTACTGGTGAGGAAACCGAGGCATTAAAAGATAATCAAGAAGAAGCCAGGGGAAAGTTCTGGCAGGGTCTCAGAATGAAGTGTGGACTCCAACCTTGTAATCAGGCAGAAAACATCCATTTTAGTCCTGTTTCTGTTGCTGTCTGTGTGACCTTGAACAATCACTGATTTCAGGACCTCCAAGTTCCCCACTCTACCCCACCCCCACCCCCGACATACACCTAGCAGTGCCACGAGGATGCCTTGTTAAGTATAAAGTATCCGACAGCTGTGCTTGGCAGAACAAAAACCCCCTAATGGCAAGGGTCTCCCAAAGCCATACACAGAATAAAACAGCAGGACTCCCCTAACCTCTGCAGGAGTTAATCAGTCCCAGGACCTGTGCTGACCTCTCCTCCCCCATCTCCAGAAGACTACAGGCAGATAATTATCGCTCCCCCCACCCCCATCCTTCCACCTCCCCGAACAAAGTACAAACCAGCACCGGCCTAGACAGAGCCACTCACTGGTCAATGGCCGGGCCTTGACAGATCCAGCCCAGATCCTCACCCTTCCCATGGAGATTCCCCATAAAGAAATGTGAGAATGTGTGCGTGTATTTGCCTGGGGGGTGAGGGAAAAATGTGTGCAGTGTTTCTGTCCAGCCTCTCTAATGGTGGTCCGCTCTAGGCCTCTCATCAAGGGGAGGGAAAGCCTTGTACTCCCTAAACTCCCCTCTTCCCCAAAAGAACTCTCTACACCACCCTCCTCAACACTGGGCCATCCATCTTGAAACAGATTGGGGGGGGGGGTGTTGGGGAATAAGAGAGAGAGAGAGAGAGAGAAATCTCACCATGATGGGGACTTGGCAAAAGGCAGCTTTGTTCCTTTCATAGCACAGTCTGCCGGGTAAAGAAAGCTCCCCGGGGAGCGCTAACCCCGCAGCTGCCATCCTCCAGCTGTCCCGTCCCCCCTCCCCACCATAAGTCAAGCTCTTCGACCAATAGAGAGTAGGTGGGGGTGGGCAGCCTGGCCTCTACCCCTCGGCCAGCTCCTATGACAGAGAAAGCCACTTAAAGGGATAGAGCCTCCATGGAACATCCTCTTCTCTACTCAGCACCCACCCTCTGGCCCACTGCTTCTGGAAAGGGAGCCAGGAGCTAGGCTGAGCAGTAGGAGAAACCCTGCGCTAGAGACTTGGGTGGGGTCCGATCCTGGTTATAAGAAGGTGGGCGAACTGCTTGATGACCTCAGCAAAAAAAGAAAAGAAAAGAAAAAGTATGTGGGGGGGCGGGGCTGGGTGTTCTAACATCTCTCCTCTCCCTTCAGGGATATGAGAATAGACGGAAAGATGTTTTCCTATACCTAGCTTAGAAAGACCCAACAGCTGTGGGGCTTCTGTATCTTTCTCCTCCCTCTGTGTGTGTTTTTGAAGGAGGGGCACAAAACCACCCATACTCCCCCACCCATGAAGAGGGTGATGGTGGCTTCATGCCCGGGCTTGGTAAAGAGGGGTGGAAGGGAGGGAGAGGGAGGCAGACACTAGGTCGAACTGAAGGGAAGAGTTCAAATAATGTAAGACTCTTTAAGGGACAGCTGCTTCGGCCAGTTTTCCACTCTGCCCCATACAATTTCACAGCCAGAGACCAAAAGGCCTTATGGCTCATTTTAAAACACAGTGAGTCTAGGTAGGTGTCAGAAGAGGCCTCAGTGCTGGCTAAGAAGGAAAGGAGGGCAAGGTAGGGTCTGAGCCAGGGATGGGAACCTGTGGCCTTGGGGCCACATGCTGACCTCTAGGTCCTCAAGTGCAGCCCTTTGACTGAATCTAAACTTAACAGAACATTTACCTTTAATAAGAGGACTTGTTCTGTAAAACTTGGACTCAATCAAAAAGCCACACTCAAGGACCCAGAAGGCGACATGTGGCCTCAAGGCCCCAGGTTCCCCAACCTCTGGGCAGACTGTGTGTGTGTGTGTGTGTATGTGTCTCCCTGAAAATCCTCCCCTCCCCCTCCCTACAGGAGCCCAGCCAATCAATTAAGCATTCATTAGGCCCTTGCCATGTGCTAGGCACCAGCCCTTCCAGCTGCCAGTCAGGAGGGGACAGGACAGAGACAGGCTGGGTCCTTCTACAGGGAGGTCCATTCCCAAAGTATCAGGACCTCAGTGATCCAGAAGGTTCCCCAGAGGTTCTCACTCAGAGCCCTCTCTTGGCATTCACAACCCATTCAATGGTAGTGCTTAGCCGGCCAACTGCTACACATACAGATTCAAAACAAATTCCCTATTACCTCAGGGGCTAGAGAAGGTGATAGAGGTTTGGGGCCTGGCCAAACTGGCAAGCCTCTACGCACTCAGCTTTTGCCTTCCTCAGTTTACCCACTCTGCCTGCATCACTGTCCAAGCAAGACTCAAACCAGTCAATTTGCAGCTACTCAGCCGCTCTAGTGAGAGGTGTGCCTATTTCTAGCACCCAGAGAAAACCTATTCTTCAGACCGGGTATTCCCCAGATCTGAACGGAGGACCTGACCTTCAATGCCCCAGCTTTCTGTTGCTACAGAGAGGTGAAGGAAACTCAAGTCTGAAGAGCTGGGTTCAGTGCATGACTCTGCTGCTCACTTCCTCTCCAAGCCTCTCCAGACCTCAGTTTCCCTATCTGTACAACACCCAAGAAGCCTGTATAATGCCTTTGCATTTGGCTCTCAGAAAATGTTGCCTCCCCTTTTCTGGGACCCATGGATCCCAGATTTATTATATTATCTAATAATAATGACAGCCAACATTATATAGTGCTTACTCTGTGCTAGGCACTGCATTAAGTACTTTAAAACTGTAGTCTCATTTGAGCTTCACAACAAACTTGGAAGGTGGGCGCTATTATTATCTCCATTTTACAGTTGAAGAAACTGAGGCTGAGGGGTTAAGTGACTTGACCAGGGTCACATAGCTATTAAATGAGGCAGGATTTGAAGTCAGGCCTTCCTGAGACCAGGCCTAGTACTCTAACCACTATACCACCTAACTGCCCCTTATGGTCAATGGATGGGGGACCCTTCAGGTTATTTGTCCACTGCAGACCATGGCTCCTTACTCCAGCCAAAGGCCTCACAATCTACTCCTCTTGTTCATGAGATGGGAGATGGGTAGAGAGAGATGGAGAAGAAAAAAAAATGCCAGGGGGTGGGGGGAAGAGGAGGTATCAAAACATAAAAGAGAGAAGTAGAGAGAAAGAGAGAGAGAGGAGAAAGAGAAAGAAAGAGGAGACAGAGAAAGAAAGAGAGAGAGAGAGAGAGAGAGACAGGAGGGGAGAGAGAAAGAAAAAGAGAGAGGGAGAGGGAGAGACAGGAGACAGAGAGAAAGGAGGGGAGAGAGACAGACAGGAGGGGAGAGAGAAAGAAAAAGGGAGAGGGAGAGAGACAGAGAGAAAGGAGGGGAGAGAGAGAGAAAAAAAAAGAGAGAGGGAGAGAGAGACAGGAGACAGAGAGAAAGAAGGGGAGAAGAGAGAGAGAGAGAGAAAGGAGGGGAGAGAGGGAGAGAGAGAGAAGAGACAGAGAGAAAGGAGGGGAGAGAGGGAGGGGGGAGAAAGAGAAAGAAAGAAAGAAAGAAAGAGAGAGAGAGGAGACAGAGAAAGGAGAGGAGAGAGAAAGAAAAAGAGAGAGAGAGAGAAAGGAGGGGAGAAAGGGAGAGACAGACAGAGAGAAAGAAAGAGAGAGAGACAGGAGGGGAGAAAAAGGAAGAGAGAGAGAGGAGGGAAGAGAGAAAGAAAAAGAGAGAGACAAAGGAGACAGAGACAGAGAGAAAGGAGGGGGGAGAAAGAGAGAGACAGAGACAGAGAGAGATGAGGGGAGAGAGAAAGAAAAAGAGAGAGGGAGAGAGAGAGGAGACAGAGAGAGACAGAGAGAAAGGAGGGGGGAGAAAGAAGGAGAGACAGAGACAGAGAGATGAGGGGAGAGAGAAAGAAAAAGAAGGGGGGAGGAGGGGAAACAGAGACAGAGAGAAAGGAAGAAAGAGGTAGAGAAAGAAGGAAAAGAGGGAGTTGGGTGAGGATAAGTGAGGAGATGAAGAGAGAGAGTAAAGAGGTAAAGAAAGAGAAAGGAGATGGGGAAGGCTAGGAGGAACAGAGAAAAGGAAGGGCAAGCTGGACAGTGAGGGCTCCCCCAGGGCTGCCCATGCCTGCGCCCATGCCCATCCCCATCCGAGCTGCTGAGCCCAAGCCTGTGGAGAGAGCCTCAGGGTTCCAATCAGAAGCTGGTCAGTTATTATTAGTGCAGGGCTTGAGCAGTTCAGTAAATAGCCCTTAGTAATGAAGGTCTGTGCAGTGACCTGGATTCCCAGAAGAGGGGTCTGAGCCAAGGAGGCCCCGTCACGGGATGGACAGGAGCGGACAGCTCAGAGAGCAGGCCCCTGCTGTTTTCTGACTAAGCATCACACAGGGCAGCGGCAGCAGCTCTCAGACACGGGGCTTCCCTTCCTCTCGCTCCAGGATTTTACTTCTACTTTTTCCTGTTTGGATCAAACCTGGGCCTCTCCCCAACCTCTCCAAATCCGCAATCACTCTAAGAAACTGCCTCTGCAGTGCACATTCCACCAAAGATGCTGGCCACAGAGCGTGGCCATATCTGGTCTCCAAAGAGAGATCTTGCCTCAAACACACCAAATCTAAAAGGGTCCTTTAATACTTACTCCAACCTTACTTCAAAAATGGGAAACTGAGTCCCAGGGAGAAGACATTACCCACCCAAGGTCATCCTACTGGGTCTCAAGACTGAGACTACACCTCCCAAGCCCCAACTCTCCTGGGCCTTGAACCAGGGCTTTCCTGGAGTGACCTCCAGGATGGACCTCAGGCTTCCTGCCTGCAGCCTCCTTCCTGTCAGGACTCTGACCGTTTCTGCCCCGTACCTTCACAGCATACTCTTTGTTCGTAATGAGGTTGATGCACGTCTGGACTCGGGCGTGGGCTCCTTCTCCCAGCACTTCATCCTGCAACTGGTAAACATCTGGGGGAGAGAGAAAGGACTTTGGTACCCCGGGACAGGCCCCACTGCCCCGGAGGACAGGTACCACAGACACTGCTGGCAAGACCTCCTTAAAATTCTCCTCTCTTCCTTTCTCAGGGAGCCCCGAAGGCGAGTCTCTGTCCCTCCCCTTCCCTCCCACCACCGGCTCAGAATTCTTGGCCCCAACAGACATCCATCCACTCTGCCCTGCCGGGACTGACTTGCCTCACCTTCAAACCTCCCAGAGAAGCTATCTGTGGCCCGGCAGCGTTTCTTCTTCTTGCTTCTTTTCTTAGCATCAGGGATGTCGATGGGCTGGCTTGAGGGCATATCTGGGGCACACAACACCCCCAACCGCAGGAGGGGGGCACAGAGGTAAACTGCAGGCTCTTCTTGGTCAGGACTCACCCTTCCCACCCCAGACCTCCCCCTCTAGCCTTGGGGTAAGGGAATTGAGGGCTCCAGGCCCTATTTAAAGGACTCCATCTCAGGCATCTCTCTGTATCTGGAGGTTTCCCCAGCTTGCCCCAGGGACAAGGGCCACAAGAGCTCAGGACCCTAGGACTCACCAGCTATTTTTAGGAAAGGGTGGGGCAAAGCGGGGACTGAGGGACTGAGTCAAAGGAAGGCCCTCCGCAAGAGGACAGGAAAGGTAGGAAGAGAGGCTAATACCCACTCTCCTAACTAAGCTTCAGAGCTAAGGATCCTTTCCTCTAGGACTCTCCCCTCTGACTCCCCAGTCAGAACTATATATATATCAATCAATGGGAAACATGGGACAGGTGTTTCTCCAGCCACACTGACCTCCAGCTTCTCCCCCTCCATCCCCACTGGTGCTCTTAGCACCAGATTCCCTGGCCCTGATACTTCTGACCATCCCTATGCGTCCCTGGCTGTGCCTAACACATCCCCGGGCCCTGATACTCCCCTCCCAGTCCCCTCATCCCTCTAATTGTCTCTGTTCTCCCTGGTCACATGCCCATTGGACAGAAGGCCAGTCTGTTAGGGCTTACCAGGGCGGGTAGGGCACTCAAAATTGAAGACAGATTCTAGGTGGTTGGACTGGTTGACGGCAAAGGCCAGCTCGAAAGGATTCTGTCCCTATAAGGTGAGGAAGGGGGGAGGAGTCCAGGTCATGAGAAGAGCCTCTTAGAATTTCCCCTTCCCCCCAAACATTGTTTTCAGAAAGGAGACCCCATACCACGTGCCCCTTACAGCTTGGGGGTTTTCTGATCTCTATCTATAATCAATAGTGGTAAAACCACATCCTCATACTTAATTCTAGGCTGCTCAAAGTACTTGCCGGCTCAATGACTCTCACAATGATGGGGCAGGAGCCTGGCAGGACCTGACCCCAGAGGGATGAACCTCAGAGACCACGCCCTTTGATTTCCATATATCCCCAAAGGACAGAATTAAAGCCCTAAGAAATTCAAGGTGAATTAGGCTAAAATCTGGACAAGCTGGGTTCTTTCTGCAGTACTACAGAACCTTTCTCCTCCCAGTCAAAGGGCGTCCAGGCCTGAAGATTGGGGGATCAGAGGGTCAAGGTATGAGTGGGGTCATAGCCTGGGGTGCAGCTGTCTGAACGGGGTGCTGAGCACCTGGGAAAGGGGATAGAGCGAAAGGTGGACACATGAAGAGCCTGAGACCAGAGGATACAGCACCTCGCCCCCCCCAAACAGCTTACCCCAGCTGATAGGCACAAAGAGGTTAACAATAACAGGAATGTTTTTATCTTTACACAAAGGGGATGTCCCAGCCTTACTGTCTATAGGCCATGTGCTATGAGTGGGGGATGGGCTGCACCAAGCCCTCCCCACGATTTTGCCAGGTCTCCTGGATAACCAACATGGCCTAGATTAGGGGTGTCGTCTATAGCACCTGTGGAGAAGTGAACTAACATGTCCCAGGCTGCCAGATACCCGAAGAGCCTAGGGTGTGGGTGAAGAGGAGCTGGGTTCAAATGCCAGCTTCACTACTCACTAGAGCTAGAACCCACGTAAGTTATTTCCCCTTTCCGGATCTGCTTCCCCCTCCGTAACCTGGAGAGAGTATACTCAATGACTTCCACAGCACCTTCCAGTTCTAGCTCCTAAGACCCATGCCGGGCCCCGATCCAGAAGGCAGTCCAGAACCCTGAGTTCTTTTTTCCAGCAATGCCAAAGACTTTTATGTAACATGGCCGTTCTTGCACCCTCCCCGGACCTCAGTTTCTAGACTAGATCTGTAAAGTCCCTAAATGTTATGATCCACTGGAGATACTATTTAGCCCTTTTTTCTTAAAACTGTCCTTCCTTCCCTCTAAAAGCAAAATAGAGGGAAAAGCGGACTATTCCAACCCCACCTTGACAACCTGGCCTGGTCTCACCGCGGTGCCTGAGGGATCTCCAGCCTGATCCCCTTACCTGGCACCCTAGTGGTCACTGTTTCTTAGCGCTTCCCGTGTCAGAAGGAAGGGCTTCCCCTCTTTGGCCTCAAATCACTCATCCGTTAGAACAATAATAGTAGCTAGTATTTAGGTAGCACTTTTAAGTTTTGCAAACCACTGTACAAATATTATCTCCATTGGCTCTCACAACAACCCTGGGAGGTAGGGGCTATTGTTATACCCATTTCACAGATGAGGAAATTGAGGCAGACAAAGGTTAAGTACCTTGTCTGGGGTGACAGAACTAAACGGTAAAGCCACATCTGAACTCAGGTCTCCGGGCCCAGGACTCTATCCTCTGTACCATCTATCTTGCCCATGCAGGTTATCAGACCAGATGACCCGGGAGGTCCTCGGTTAGCTCTCAGTCCTTCAAAAGGGCAGCCTGGTTTGTACTTCCCCATCCCCCAAATATCTCCAAAGGAAAATCCCTGGAGTTCTCCCCCCCTCACTAGGTATCCTCAAGCTGAGGGCACTGGGGTCCAATGACCTCATGAACTCAAAAACCCTTTTTTTCGGGGTGAGGGGCCTTTTTTTTTGATGAGGCAACAGGGGTTAAGTGACTTGCCCAGGGTCACACAGCTAGTAAGTGTCATGTGCCTGAGGTTGATCTGAACTCAGGTCCTCCTGATTCCAAGGCCAGAGCTCTATCCACTGCGTCACCTAGCTGCCCCTCAAAAACTCTTAATAAGAATTGAGTAAATGGCAAGCCCAGACTGGCCGTAACCATCTCTTCCATTAGCAGGAATTTTCTATCAAGTCTGTCAAGTTCAGAGATCTGGAAAAAAAAAAGGTTCCTTTTTCTTCAGCCCTTTACCATCTGTAAAGCCCCTTCCTCACAACACCCACTGGAGACAATATATTGAAGTATTATTAATCCCATTTTGCACAACTGCATTTGTGCAAATGATTCTCAGGTTTATATTTCCAGGTCTAGCCTATCTCCCGACCTCCAGCCTTGCATGCCTGCCTATTGGACATCTCGAATCTTAAGCCCAACACATCCAAAATTAAACTCGCCATCTTTGCCTCCTAAGCCCTCCTCTCTGCTTCCCTATTTCTGTCAAGCGCACCACCACCCTTCCACTCATCCAGGCTCAAAAACTAGGAATCATCCTGACTCATCCTTCTCAGCCCCCACATCCAATCAGAGGCAGCAGTTCTGTGATTTCCATCTTTATAACATCTTTCTGTCTACCACTTTCTCTCCTCTGACACTGCCGCCACCCAGACAGCCCCCCATCCATTCATGCCCACCGGTTCTTCTCCCTGCCTCAAGTCTCTCCCCACCCCAATCCAAGCTCCATTCGGCTGATCCTCCTAGGTCTGACCATGTCACTCCTCTCCACCGCACCCCACTTAATCAACTTCAGCAGCTCTCCAAATAGAACATCACCTGGCAGTTAAAAACCTCCATATCCTGGCCCTTTTCTACCTGCACAGTCATCTTCTACCTTCCCACTGTCCTGGTTCCTCTTCCATCCAGTGACACCAGGCTCTTTCCTATTCCCTGAACAAGGTACTCCTGATTCTAAGCATTTGCACTGGCTGTCTCCCACGTCTGGAATAAGGAACGGTCTACCTCCTCCTCTCTGCTTTCTGGTTTTCTTCAAGTCTCAGCCCAAATCCCACCTTTTACAGGAAGCCTTTTCCAAATCCCCCTTAATGCCAATGCCCTGGCTCCAATTCACCTTTTGTAAATATCTTGGTTGCATGTTATCTCCCCCATCAAACTGTAAGCTCCCAGAGGGCAGGAACTAGCAATCTACCGCCTTTCTTCGTATTCCCAACACTTAGCACACAGTAGGCACTGAATAAATGTTATCTGACTGACCCATATGGATCCCCAATTTAGAACTAGAAATCTAGTCCAACCACCTCTTTTACAGATGAAGAAACTGAGGCCCAGAGATAAAGTGATTTGCCCACACAAAGAGCAAACGCAAACTCTGGGATTCAAACTGAGGTACTCGCTGAATCTAGCATCCTTTCACCGTACTAAAGAAAACGGAGGCTCCGTGTCAAGTGCCTGGCCTATGGTCATGCAAGCTAATAGCAAAGAGTCCGGCCTTCAATCTGCGGTGAAAGGCTTAAGTTTACTTTCTCCTCATTGACTTCTTAGCAAATAAGAACACGGCAGAGTTCCTGCAAGGCATGACCCGCAGGAATTCCACAGCAAGGCTGGAGACAATACTGGGAAGCCGGCTAACCTCAGCAGAGACAAGGGCCAAGGCCTGGCTTGGACCCTCTTCTAAGCCTAGGGACACAGGTAAGTCTTCTCAAGCCCTGGAGAGCCAGTTTTTCAACTGCAAAATGGATCACTGATATGCAGGCAGAAAGAAACTTTAAGTCCAGCCAATCCAACCTCTTCCTTTTACAGACCGGGAAGAGGCCTAGAGAGAAGAAATTTGCCCAAGATCCTTACAATAAGCAGCCCAACCCAACTACTCTTTTTACAACCCCAGATTCTTATTTACTTGTCTCTCCCACCCTGCCACGATCTGTGGTAGAGTGTAAGGGAATAAGAAAGAGGTGCAGAAATCAGCATCATTCTTCAGGACATTCTCAGTCTTAGCCAGTCTTCTATTACCCCATCACTTGGTACACAAGAGTAGAAAAGCCTGAGGGTCCAGAGAGCCAAGCCTGGGAGCCAAGCCTGGTCCGGTCTTTCTGAGACTCCCTAGACCTATTTTCCTTTCTATAAAATGGGAATACTGTCCTTCAGCCACTCAATTTTTTTTTAAGGCAACTGAGGTTAAGTGACTTGCCCAGGGGTCACACAGCTAGTAAGTGTCAAGTATCTGGTCAGGTCCTCCTGACTTCAGGGCCGGTGCTCTATTCACCCACCCAATTTTAAAGGGGCTGAGGAGGGATTTGGGGAGAATCTGTAGGATGCAATGTAATAGTTTTAAATTCTTAAAAAATTCAAAGTACTTTTTTTTTCTATTTCTAATCTGACCACCAAGGGAGAAAAGTTTTGGGAGATGTGAGGCTCACACTACTGTCCTCTTCCAAAACTAATTCAGCATCTCTCTCTCTCTCTCTCTCTCTCTCTCTGTCTCTCTCTCTCTCTCTCTCCCTCCCTCCCTCCTTCCAAGGAAGGGACCTAGCCAGATGTTGACAGCTGCCCATCACAGACTCCACAGCTGAGGAATCCGGCAGAGGTCAAACCCTGGGGCTGGAAGGGAGGGGTGGAAAACAAGTGTTGCTTAAGAGCCTTCTCCCCTCCCCCACCCCCCCAAGGGGCAAAGATTGTTGCTAGGAGCCAGGCCTGGGAGCAGTGGGGGAGGAAGAGAATGAGAGGAGGTTCCAGACTAAACCAGCTTGGGGCAGGTAGTGTCAAAACCTGGAATCATCCTACCCCCAACCCAACAACATCCCCTTCTTAACCTCTCTCTTCTATGGAGGGAGTGGGCAGGTCACTGAAAGGAGCCAAGGCAGAACAGGCCGGAGCAAAGGGGTAAATGTATTGTCTAGTCTTTCCTAAACACGGACCTGTACATGGGCACGGACGGACAGACGGGGACACACACACACACACACACACACACACACACACACACACAGACTTCTCAGTTTCCTCATCTAATGGGATCACACCATTCTCACAGGCTTGTCGTGAGGAAAGCAGGGGGTCAGGCGTCAAGCATTTATTCTTCGCTTACCATGCCAGGGCACCTTGCTGGGGATACAGAGAAACGCAAAGTGAAAATCAGGGCACTGCTTGATGACTTCTGATGGGGGCCATTATTACTAGCTTCTCAGGCCCAGTTCCCTCATTTACTAACTAAGGACCATCCTATCTTGAAGTTTTCTTCTAAAAAAGCAACTAAGACACTCGGTGGAACTAGAAGCAAGGTCTCCCGATTCCAAACCAGTGCGCTACACCAGGCCCACCAATCTAGAAAAGGCCAAGCAGGCCCATGGCGGCCTGCTCCCCCCAACCCCCAAGTTATCCAAGAGACCTACAATTCACTTCCACACTTACTAGCCCTTCCGTGTCACAACCCTGAGCTTCTTGGACTTTAAAAAACAAACAAACAAACAAGCATATTAAATGTCTCAGAAAAACAGGAGGGGAAGGAGCAGTCTCTCCCCTCCCCCAACTCTAACACTTGAGAAGGGGGCAGAGAGTTGCTTTCCCCTGTCTGGTCTGGTCCCAAAGGCCAACACCCCTCAGACTTCAGCTTGGCAGGGAAGCAGAGTCAGCAGGCCTTGGCAAGAGGCTGGAACCATGGAGAAATTTGTGTTTATTCTGGCTTAGGACTGAAGTGGGGCTTATTCTGCTAAGCTGGCCCAGGCAAGCCTCCCCTCCACCACACAGGGGGAGCTGCAGAACCAGGGAGTGGGGGGGGGGGTTGGGGGGGTGCAACACCCCTCCTCCCCCAAAAAAGTCTAAAACTGAAAGACTGTTTGGAAAGATCAGGCAAGTCTCTAGCGTTCAAAGGGGAAAACGGGCTCTGACTGAAACAGGAGAAAAAAGGTTAGACAACAGAAAGAACATACTTGTCTACCTTGAGCTCCACCAGCCCATCTCACAGGAACCCAAGGTGAAGAGTGAGGATAAATTACAAAGGGCTTACAAAGGGAGGGTTTCCCATGGGAACAACCATCTCTACCAGAGGAGGAAACTAGCAGAGGTAGTGGGCCTTGCTCCGAGCCACAAAGCTAGGAAGTGTCGAAGGCCAGGATCTCCCAAGGCTCTTTTTGCTAGATGCCACCGATAGCACTAACAGCAGAGTCAGGTTTTTCAGAGAGAAACACACGAGCGAATGGATTCTGACCTTGCAGCGCACGCTTCAGATGCAGTCATCTGGTCAAGCAACCTCTCTCAAACCCCTTCAAGAGCTGAGACTCTAGGCCCGTGCCTCCCAGTCCTCTGGAGGAATTTGAGGAGAGCTGCCAGAACCTTTTACGGGTCTGATCTGATTCCCACTGGAAGATGGCAAGAAAGCAGGCACCCCGCTACCCAGAGGCCGGCCAGGCACTCTGGGATGAATCTAAAGGAAATTAATGTTTGTGTGCAAAAGGGACGAAGGAAGAGACAAAAAGGTACAGGATCCGCAGGAACTCTCTCTGTAACTCCCTCCATTTACCCCTCCCACCCAGATTAACCAGTCACCCAACCTACAGGTTTGCAGCAGCACCTCCAATGCCTCAAACAGGGTGCATGCATGCAGACACACACACACACACACACACACACACACACACACACACACACAGCATCCCTGCCTATCTTACCCAGCAACAGGTTATTTTCAAATGAGGCCATTACATAAGCTCAAATGCTGACATCATTCTGTCCTGGGAAAAAGGAGGTAGAGACGGATGGGGACAGGGAGCCTGCCTCCTCTTCCCACAACAGACCTTTCTCACTCCCCAGCCTCTTTATTCCTCCCCCTCCACCCCTTGCCTCCTCCCCCCCAAAAATAATTCAACGTTAATTTGAGATATTGTATCAGAGCCCCAAAGCTTCCTGGCAAGACAGGAAATGGTTTTTAAGCTGAGGATTCAAAATGAAGGCCAGGCAGATAATGACTACAGCGGGCATTTATACTGTGCCTTAAGGTTTGCAGTACATTCTGGATATAGTCACTTAATCTGAACCTGAAGCACAGAGAGGCTGAGTGACTTGGCCAAGGTAACATAGCTGTAAGTGTCTGAGCTCGGGTCTTCCTGATACCTAAACTCTCTTGGGAGCTGTAAGGTCAGGCTCAGAACTTGGAGCTTCCCAATAGGACGCCTCCAAAAGACATGGAAGAAGGAGGTCGGCAGAGCCCAGATTCTATAGCTATGGCTGCCAGTGTGATTTTGGACAGGCCCTTCCCTCCAGGAGCCTCAGTTTCCCCATCTATAAAATGAGGGAGGGGGCTGGACTAACTTATCTCCAAGGTCTCTCTCCAACTCTATGATTTTATGATCTCCCTGAAGGAAGGAACTGAGGCTATGAATTCGAAGAGTTGTGCACTCTATGAGTCAAGAGGGGAGGGTCAGCAGGTCCAGAACAAGTTCCAAATCCTCCCCCCCATTCTACACTGGCCTTTCCTTATGCCTTCCTACCACCCTGCTGCTATAGATCAGTGCTTCCCCAGCAGTAAAAAGGGCTCTTTCAATCAGCTCCCAGAAAACACAGTATCCCAGACCAGGAAATCCCTGAAAGGGAGAGGGAGACCAGGGAGAGAAGGAATGTCAGGAGGGAAGAGAGAAAGGCAATCAGGCCTCGAGGAAAGCAGTCATCCACATACACACCCTCTCTTACTAGCAAAGGCCAGGACTCCCCTGGGCAGGGCAAGGAGGCTGTAACCAGGGGCTTACTCTTTCGAGGGAAGAGCTCTCTTCTCAAGGCAACTGGGAAAGAAATCTCACTGGGACACAGGGGAAAGAGAAACAGGGGGTGCTTAGCACAACTGATTGGGGGGGCAGGCCCAGTCTGGATCGTTGTTAGTCAACCCCCTCTCCCTGCCGGATGAAACTCCTCCAGATGGGCTTGGCCAAGCTTCTAGCTTATTCCCAGGTCTTCCTGACATTCTCCCCCCCCCCCCCGCAAAGAAAAATCGACCCTCGAGAAGAATCTCAAAACTCAGTTGATTGAGGACATTGAGCAAGCCCCTACCTCTCTCTGAGGCTGTTTCTCTCTTCCACAAAAAAGGAAGGATTGGACCAGATGATCTCTCAGAAGCCTCCCAGCTCTTACATTACAGGAAAACTTCACCTCCCAATGCAAAGAGACCCATGAAAACATCAAAGAGGGCCCAAGAGCCTGCCTGCCCCTCCCCACCGGCCCAGGAGCAATGCAAGCAGCCCCAGGTACCTTGAACGAACGATGGAAACCCTCAAGTTCAGCCGCTTTCTTCTGCACCATTTTTTGTCCGGGATCTTGCCAGGAGCCAGAAAATTCAAGTAGAGAAAAGAGTATTTGTGTAAGGGAAGGAGGAGAAGCAGAGGAAGGGGCAAAGGGAACCTAATCGCTAGTCCTACCCCGCTGGATGGAGACAGGCGAGAGGAAAGGAGACGAGGGGACGGACAAAGGAAAGGGATGCCTAGTGAGACCTGCAGCTATCGGGTGTTTCTCTCCCCACCTCCAGTGTGTAGGTGTGGGTATCTCCCTCCCTCCCCTGGGTCCTCAGTCCCTCCTCCTCTCCTGGTGTCCCGACCTCCATGCCCCGCCCCCTGTCTCTCTCCGCCAGTGTCACAAGGAACATCTGGGACCCCACCCCCTCTCACTCACACACAGTCCCAGGGTTAAAGCAGAAGCAACTTCTTCCCTCCCCCTCCGCCAGCTGGGCCCCAAACAAAAGCTGCTGCTGCCGCCGCCGCCTCCGCCGCCCCAGCCTTCGGACTGGGGCTCGGGGCTCAGGGCTCAGGGCTCCGGGCAGCACGGGAGGGCACTCGAAGCTCAACCCACCGCCTGGTCTCCCCTCAAGCTGGGTCCCCCCCCGTCCCCTCCGGGCGGAGCTGCGGGTCCCAGGAGGTGGAGGTGGTGGTCACTAGTGCTCGGACACACGCGCACACACACCCCTCCTCCCCAAATGAGCAGCAGCGGCCACGGTGCAGACCATCCGCATGGGTGGTGGTAGCAGCAGCAGCAGCAAGTAGCAGGTTCACTCGCTCGGCCCCGCTTTGGGCACAGGGAAGGAGAGGGGAAGGCGGGGAATGAGACTGGAGAGGGGAGCCCGGCCGGACTGGCCAGTCCTCGGGCACTCACCAGGACCGAGGCCGGGGGCTCCCCAGTGCTGCTGCAGCCGCTGCCGATGGAATCACAGCCCGGACCTGAGGGCGCAGCGCCGCCGCCGCCGAGAGGAGCCTGGCAGTCCCCGCGGCCCCAGCTTTTATAGGCTCCCTGGCCCCGCCCCGGGCCACCCCCTTCCCTGGCCCCGCCCCCGAGCCCAGCAACTGACCGCTGGAGGTGGGGGGAAGAGGAGGTGGTGCGCGTCTGTGTGTGTGAGTGTGAGTGTGTGTGTGTGTGTTTGGGGAGGAAGAGAAGCGGTGCGCTGGCCTGTAAACGAGCGGTGTTTGTGACAGGCAGAGGAGAGTGTCTGTGCAGTGAGTGTGTCTGCAGTGTGTGTCTGCACTTTTTTGGAAAGAGAAAGAAATGTGTGTGTCTGTCGTGTGTGAAAGAGTATTGTGTCTGTCTTCTGGGTGAGGAAGGGAAGGAGTGTGCGTGCGTGCGTGGAGCATGTTTTGTATAGGGGAAGTGTGGGTCTAGGCGCAGTGTCGGGGGTGGGAGGAAAGGGGCTGCGGGCAGCGCATGTGCCCAGGGGTGCTGGGAGTGTGCGCGAGCGAGCTAGCGAGCAAGTGATCGAGCTCCCTCCCGGCCGCAGTGGGCCGAGGGGAGGAGGGAGCTGTGCCTGCAGTGTGACAGTGTGTGTGTGTGTGTGTGTGTGTGTGTGTGTGTGTGTGTGCTGCTAGCTTGAGCAAGGATCCTTGAGTTGGTGTTTGGAGGAGGGAGAGCTGAGTGCGAGAGGGAAAGGGCGGTGCGAGTGTGTGTGTATATGGGAGGGTGTATGTGCTTGGGCAGGCGGGGTTCCAAGGCCTAACCAGTTTGTACCACTCCCAGCTGTAGCAGCTGGAGGTCCCCTCCAGTCTGACCTCGGCTGCAGGGAAAGCCCCGCCCCGTCCCCCGGGAGGCTACTTCAACCCCTGAGCCAGATGCCTTGGGTGGGCCCCACAGAGCCCCGCCCTCATGGCCTGGCCAGACAGCTGGCCCTGTGTGGGGAGGGGCTACAGTCTAGACTGACCCCTTCCCAGGACTGAAAGGCCAGGGGTTTTCCCGCAGGTCTAGGAAGAAGATGCGCTCCCCACGGCTCCTGTCCCCCGTGCCCTCCCATTCTCCACAAAAAGATCTCATACATGATATACTGCAACTCCCCCACCAAACGAACCCCCTCTGTACACAGACCCACGCAATAGTATGGCAGTGTGGTAGAGTGGGGAGAGTCCTACCTCACATTCCGTCTATGGTGTTTACTTCCTTCGTACCCTCAGGCAAGCTTCTTCACTGTTCTGCGCCTCAGTTTCCCCATCTGTAAAATGAAGGGTTGAGCTAAATGGCTTCGCAGAGCTCTTCCAGCTCTGTGACTTATAATAACAGCTCCTCCTCTGTAAAAGGAGGAGGTTGGCCTGAACGATCTCTAGGATCTCTTTCAGCTCCCAATGGCGTGCTCCCCACTTTACCGATGAGACCTAGGCAGCTTTAGAGAGGCTAGGTAGCTCATTCATGGCCCCAGGGCTAGTACACAGGACTGCAACCCTTACTCAGCATGCGCGCGCACACACGCCACTCCATAGAGGCACAACACATGTGCACACGTATACAACATTCTGTACAACATTCTGCATACACAGTCACAAATGTTATAAGGGACCTCAGAGATCAGCTAGCCAACCACCCCTTCATCGTACAGAAATGGAAACAGGGGCCCGGGGAAGTGAATTGTCTTTGTCTAAGGTCCACTACTTGTAAATAGCAGTGCTGGAATTTGAACCTAAGCATTCACTCCCAAGTCCATAATCAATCTCTCTCTCTCTTTCTCTCTCTCTCTCTCTCTCTTCTCTCTCTCTCTCTCTCTCTCTCTCTCTCTCTCTCTCCCCCTCCTCTCTCTCTCTCTCTCCCCCTCCCTCCCCCATCTCTCCCCTCTTTCTTCCTCTCCTTCCCTTTCTCTTTTTCCCTCCCTCTCCCATCTCTCCCCCTCCTTCCCTTTCTTCTTCTCCCTCCCTTTCTCTCTCCCTTCCTCCCTCTCTCCCCCCCTCCTCCCTCTCTCCCCCTTCCTCCCTCTTTCTTTCTCTCCCTCTCTCCCTTTCTGTCTCCCTCCCTCCCCATCTCTCCCCCCTTTCTTCTTCTCCCTCCCTTTCTCTCTCTCTCCCTCCCTCCCCCTGTCTCCCCCTTTCTCCCTTTCTTTCTCTCCTCCCCATCTCTCCCCCTCCCTTCCTCCCTCCCTTTCTTCTTCTCACTCCCTTTCTCTCTCTCTCTCTCCCTCCTTCCCCCTCTCTCCCCTTCCTCCCTCTCTTTCTTTCTCCCCCTCCCTTTCTCTTCCTCCCTGCCTCCACTCTGCCTCTCCCTCTTACAGACATATAGGATACTCCATATATACATACAGACACCACAATAGACATGCAAAACACAGGACACAGAATCTTGTTCTATTAATAATGCCAGAGGACTTACCTCATGTGATTGTGGTGAGGATCAAATAAGATAATATTTATGAAGTGCTTCCCAAACCCTGATGTGCTTTCTAAATGCTAGCTAGTAGTAGTAGATGACAAAGTCTGTAAACATAAACTCTTTACACACACACACACACACACACACACACACACACACACACACACAAAGGGTACCCCTGGGTAATAATCATACCACCTTTTTGCTTGGCCTTCCCTGGAAAGATTCATGAGCTATAATCCTCCCCCAGAGACTCTAGCCTCCACCCCCCACAGCCTGATCAAATGAAATACTTCTAAAGCACAGTGTCTGGTCCATAGTAGGTCCTACATGAATGGCGGTTGTCTTCTCTACCCCTTAGTCCCCTCCGTATACACCCTTCACTCCCCTGTGTTATCTAAGCCTGCCTTGTCCTCTATTGCAACAACTTCTCAGAGCACCCAGTTCCTACTTCTTTTATGTCCTTACAGTCGCTACCATGTGTTATTTTGTGTGATAGTTATTTTTCAGATGCCCCATTCCCATCTTAGATTTCAGTCTCTAGGAGCCGAGTGGATATAAGCATTTATTAAGCATTTAGTGTGGTACTAAGCACACACAGATACAAAGAAAGGCAAAAGCAAGGTTAAGGACAGGAATAAGAGTTTACCTACACTTTGTCTCTCTCCCCCCCACTTCACCGCCCCCCACTGTGGTCCCCTAGTCCTCTATACACAGCTGATGCCCAACAGCGGTTTGGGGAGTTGAACTGACTCAAAACCCATCCCCTTTCCCAAAGATCTCTTTGAAACTGCACAAGGACAGGCCAGAAAGTCCCTGTGTGACATGCCGTGTTGGAGAAAGCCTTGCAATTCTCTCTTCAGCTCATCCTATATATAATCTCTCCCCAGGAATCACTCAGGAGTTAGCAGAAACTTAGAAGTCAGTCCTCAGAAAGGCTCCATTAGATGAGAGTGGTTGTTAGTTCAGAGCTTGGAGCTGGAGGAGACAAGATTCAGATTAGGTAAATTCGGGGTGAATTGAGGAGAGAAGAAATATAAGGGTAGGTAGAGACAGCTCCCAGATTGCTTAGCGTCAGCCTACATTCCCAGGAGTCCTTGAGAGTGATTAGTTAATATGAAACCCCATGAGGCTTTGGGTCCCCAAATGTACCTTAGGTAGATAGGTAGAAACAGGAGTAATAGATGACCTCCTCCCCAGTCCTCACCATCCCCACCCAAAGCTGCATGAGCTTGGCCAGGGAGCTAGGGGAGATCATCCCATTTTAATAATAACAGATGCCACTTACAGCTGCTACCTCAGAGTCTGCTCTATAATGTATCTTATTTAATCCTCACAACAATCTTGGAGGTAAATGCTCTCATTATCCCTACTTAACACAGGAAGAAACTGAGGCTTAGGGCAGTTAAGTGACTTGCCCACAGTCACACAAGGGGTAAGGGTTAGGATGCTGAATTTGAACCCAGGTCTGTTCTAACTACAGGTCCTGTGCTTTTAACTTCAAGGTACTTCCCCAACTCCAGAAACTGCACTGGCACCTAGGGCCTAGTGCATTGTCTCCTACAAGCACTAAAGGTCCACATAATGCTAGCCTATTTCTATAGTAATTTTAGGAGTACAAAATATTTTCCTCATAATCACCTTATGAGATAAGAAGTGCAAATTTGTTTTTGGAGTGCAAATATTTTTATCCCAATTTTATAAGAGAGGAAATTAAGAACCAGAGAAACCCAGGGCCACAAAGCAATGTGTCAAAGCCAGGATTCTTTGAACTCTGATGACCACTTATTCCCTGGGTGTCTCCAGCATCCATTATTGGGGTGCTCATTCACCCGTCCCGTCCACATACCCTGCTCATTCTCACCCTGGGACTTTGGTTACCCAGGAAGCAAACCCTGTGGACAAAAGGTCAACCATCCGACAAATGCTGACTAGCGCATATGTGAGACACGCCAGCCAGCCTAGCTGAGGCAGCAAGGCATCCTGGAGAGACAGGAAGTAGCCTGTCCCAGCTGAGTCACCGGCCACCCCTTTGCCTATCACCTCCCCTCAGACCCTGATGGAGATAGCCCACGACTCTGAGCCAAAGAGCCTTGGGGACAGCCCTCAAGACCACCAGCTGTACTTGGCGCTATGCCCTCGTGGCCAGCATTCCAGACAGCAGCAATGCCTGTGGAGACGTGACCTGGCAACTGGTGCCTCCTCTGCAGCCACAGCTCCTAAAGACCCCAAAAGAAAGTTCTTGTCACCAAAATCTCTGGCATTGTCAAATGGTTCAACATAAAAAATGAATATGCTTTTATCGGAGGAAATTACATTAAAGAAGATGCATTACCAAATGCTTTGCTGCTGCACTCTAGCGACCATGGCACCTTCCAGTCTGACTTGTAGCTGAAACCCTCCCTATGTGTTGTCTCTCCATTAGAGAATGAGCTCCTTAAAAACCTGGATTCTCTTCCTTCTCTTTGCATTCTGTGGAGAGAATTATGTTTTTATAGTAATCGATATGATATGTGTAATGAATATACTAATAGATTAGATTTTTATAAAAGTCATAATTCTTCCCACAATTCCTAGAGCTTAGCATGGTATTTTGCACACCGTAAGAGCTTTATTTATTCATTATTTTATCCTCTCCAAAGC